TTGCAAAAGTGGCCCCCGAGTTTTGGTATTTTAATGTTCGGTGCGAAACTTGAGATGCTAGAATATGATTATAGTCAGGTGGTGGCACCATTATAGAGACTAGTGGAGACTAGTTCACCAGTCAGATTTTCTAAGTGCTCTAAGATTTAGATTTTCTTTACAAAACTTGACATCTTCAGGGGGATCTAGGGTAGCATTAATCAGAGGCGCCAACCCTTTGGCTGGAGCACCCATGGGGAAAAATTTATGGGTGCTCTGCACCCACCGGCAGCTCCCTGCCCCACCCAGCCCCAGCTCACCTCTGCCTCCTCCCCTGAGCTCTTGCCGCCCCGAAACAGCTGTTTCATGGCGGCAAGCACTGGGAGGGAGGGGGAGGAGGGGGAACACAGTGCACTGGGGAAGAGATGTGGCTGGAGCAGGGATTTGGGGAAGGAGTCCAATAGGGGCAGGGAGGGGGTGGAGTTGGGGCGGGGACTTTGGGGAAGGGGTTGGAATGGGGGCTGGGCAGGGGTGGAGTCGGGGCGGGGCCAGGGGGGCGCAAGCACTCACCGGCACCGGGAAAAGTTGGCACCTATGGCATTAATGGTCAAAACTTGAGGTAATTTGAGCCAGGGGTTCCTAACATACAGCACCCCTAAAATAATCATGTGACATAAAAATAGTACAGTTCTTATCACTTTTTGTTTGTCCACACTTGAGGTTCAGACTCCGGCTCTGATCCTTTGCAAATTGGAAAGTCTCCAATGGAGACTGATCTCAAATAATACACTGCATCCACTGCCCCTCTGAGGAAGCAACAGGCTAAAAGTTGGACTTCCATTGAGGCCCAAGCCATGCTGAGGAGCCAGTGAAAGTCATTTGCATGGGAACCAGAGGATGACGGGGGCTCTAAGCCAGAGGGTTCATGGGCAGTCTGACATCAGAATCAGTGAGCGACTGAAGGTGGCATGCTGTGGCCTTTGAACCTGCCCAGCACCCAGGCACTGTGTGAGTCCTGCCCATCACAGCTCTCTGAGGATGCGTGTTGTGCACATTAGTTGCTCTCTGCCTGTGTTCTGTAGGAGCTCATTTGCTCTGAGAGCAAAACTTCTGGGGTAAGAGATGATGTTTCAAAGTGCTCTAAAGTGCCCCACACACGCCCAGATTTTACATTACACGTTTGGCCAAGGCAAACAGCATTAATTAGAGGGGGGAGGAAAGATTCTAGGAAGCAGAAGCACTCAGGGGCTGTAATTATGCCTTGTGCACCTTCCTCATTTCCTGAACAATGGGACTGAGTGTGATCAAAGAAAACCGAGTAGTTGCAGTTCATCAATGTTGGCATGATCACAGGGGTTGCTGAGCAACAGAAAATGTATCCAGAATAGAGAGCCCTATTGTAACGACTGATGCAAGGTCAACATTGACGAATGTGGCACCTGGGTACTCTCCTCAACCCAAAGAGTAACTTATGTTGGTCATGAAAAGTAAACACAACATAATTTGCAGCTTTCTATGATAATTCATCCAATCTACACAAACCAAAGGGTCATGCCTCTGTGTGGCCCCTCAAAATGTTGGAGCTTCTGGGAAAAAGGGGAAGAAAGGAGTCTGGCTGTCTATGTTGCATGCAGGGCCTGAAACAAATGGCTGGGAGTGGGGAGAAGCTTTCTCTTGCAATAATTAGCCCAGGGTGTGGGTCACTCAGCCAGGATGACACCGAGTTCAAGTCTTCCCTCCTCCTGAGGTGGAAAAGGGGTTTGAACAAGGGTCTGACCACTAGGCTACAGAATGATTTTAACTCTCTGGCCCAGTTAATATTGCTTTATTCAATTTAATTAAAGTGGAACAACTTCAATATGCAAGATTGAGAGAGACCCATATTGGACTACCCCGTAGAGCCATGTGGGCACTCAGCTGAGGGGGCAGATCACTGCTCAAATCTTTTTGCTTCATCAGGAGCAGGGGGGACTTGCCCTAGGGCAGGGGTTGGCAACCTTTCAGAAGTGGTGTGCCGAGTCTTCATTTATTCACTCTAATTTAAGGTTTCGAGTGCCAGTCATACATTTTAACGTTTTTAGAAGGTCTCTTTCTAGAAGTCTATAATATATATAACTAAACTATTGTTGTATGTAAAGTAAATAAGGTTTTAAAAATGTTTAAGAAGCATCATTTCAAATTAAATAAAATGCAGAGCCCCTGGACCGGTGGCCAGGACCCGGGCAGTGTGAGTGCCACTGAAAATTTGCTCCCGTGCCGCCTTTGGCACCCGTGCCATAGGTTGCCTACCCCTGCCCTAGGGTCTCCCACGTGCAGGGTGAGTGTCCTAGCCATTAAGCTAAGGGTTATAAGGAAGGCCTCCTACAGCAGCCTTGGCCTGCAACCTTAACTCTGCCCTTTCCCTATTAATGGCCTTGTCATCACTAGATTTGACCTTGTGTTTTAGTTACCATGTAGCATTAGTGAACACGACATAAGAGCACCTCCTGTTACCTATATCTGGCCTGCCTGGCCTCGACCACTTCACACTCTGCGCCAAGCTGCCCCGTGTTCCCACTCCTTGTCCTAAGGATCCCTCTGGAACATCTGCCCTTCAGTGCACTGGCATGGCTCCCACTGTTACAACACCCCTGGCCACAGACCATTGTGCTCCTCTCTTTGCACAACCCACATAGGTCAGCCCAAACCTGCAGAGGCCAGGCCTTTTGGGTGCAGATGTCCCTCTTCTCACATTGCAACATGGCCACCTGCTGCAAGCAATCCCTGACCAGTCACTGCAGCCATCCCTAGTGCAGCAGGGGGCGTTTGGAACAGCTGTAGAGAGAATATGCTCAGGACCCCCCACATCAAGGGCACATTTCCTCTGCCTTGTTACAGGGCAGTGCATGCAGAAGCCCACCTGCGGTACATTCCCTGTGGCTCAGAGCAAAGTGAAGGTTGCAGGACAGGGCTGATGTGACGAAGTTGGGGATTTTTGTAGTGTTTTACATGAATAGTGTGTGTGTGCCTCGGTTTCCCTTTGTGCTGCATGTTTAACAAGGTGGTGGGAGAGGTTTTGTTGTTGCAGAGGAGGACCAGGTGTGACCTCGTCTAGCAGCTGGGACCCCGGCAGCCAGTTCTGGCCAGTGGGAAGACAATGGGCTGAGGAGAGAGGACCCTGGTGTCCTGACCAACCAGTTCCAGCCATTGGAGGAGAGAGGGCCCCAGCGACCTGTTTACCTGGGATGGAAGACAAAGGACAGGGGAGAAGCGATTGGGGCCGGTGACATAGCATGCCTCGGCTCGGATGGAGGAGGCTTCTGGACTGGAGGCTGGACAGCCCTAGATGTACTGTGCTGAGCCTGAGGGTCCAGAGAGTTTCCTGTGCTGTGTTCAGAAGTTCAATAAACCCTCCTGTTTTACGCTGGCTGAGAGTCACTCCGGTCTAGAGATCAGGGTTGCATTATTCCCTCTGGGTGTGGCGGCCCCGAGGGTTCAGAGCAAGTGGACTCCTTGAAGGGGCCCACGGCGAGAGACAGGCATGATTAGGGCTCAGAGAGGTGCGGTTCCAGGAGGTGGAAGGGCCTACAGCTTAACCCCTGAGACAGAGTGGACCCCTGAGAAGGGCTGTTGCTCTGAAGGGGGTTCCTCCCAGGGACCGTACGGAGCCGAGAGAGAGCACGAGTCTGTGACGCCAGGACTTAGTGTCCCCTGGGTTTCAGTGGGTTCAGGCTGGGTGCATGTGACATTCCAGACAGGTATGAGATGCTGCCAGACAACTCTAACTCTGCATTAATGAAGTTTGGGCCAGTGAATTTGCAGAGGTGCTGAGCACCCAGAGCTCCCACTGGCTTCAGCTACTCAACACCTCCAAAAATCAGGCCCAAGATTTTTCAAGAGGGGCTTGCAAAACCTGAGACGCAAACCCAGCAACCACATGTGTTGCCTAAGAAGGCGGAGCAGTCCAATTGTGCTCATTGTAACCACACAAGCCATTCCTGGACCTCTTCTCCCTCCATTTAGCATCTGCTCTAGTTCGAACAGAAATTCATTCAGGGGAGTTACGTGACCTGTGTGACGCAGGAGGTCAGACTATATGAGCACAGTGGTCCCTTCCGGGCATAGAATCTATTAATATTTTGTGCCTTGTTTTAGATGGTAATGAATGCTTCAGGGCAGGGACTGTGTCTTCTGTGTGCCTGTACATAGCCTAGCCCTGAGTTCTCTAATGCTTTCATACCATGCGCCATGTTTTAGTAGAGTCTCTCAGGGACCTCCCTGCCACGGCCCGGTCGGTGACTCCCTGTGGCAATGGAATGGTAGGAAAGCACTTGCATATTTTTAGATTCTTTTAATGCAAATTTGTAGCAGCTGGAAACAAAATAGAAAGTTGTGGCAGAACTGTGCCACCTGCCACCTCCCCTGGCTGGATCCCCTGGCCAGACCGTGCCACTTGCCTCCTCCCCTGACCGGACTGAGTCACCTGCCTCCTCCCTGGCCGGACCGTGCCACTTGCCACCTCCCCTGGCTGGACCGTGTCACCTGCCTCCTCCCCTGGCCAGTCCATGCCACCTGCCACCTCCCCTGGCCGGACCATGTCACCTGCCTCCTCCCCTGGCCAGACCGTGTCACCTGCTACCTCCCCTGTTGGAAGCGAGTCACCTGCCACCTCCGCTGGCAGGTCCATGCCACCTGCCTCCTCCCCTGGCCAGTCCATGCCACCTGCCACCTCCCCGGCCGGACCGTGTCACCTGCCTCCTCCCCTGGACTAGCAGCAAGTGCTAAACTGACAACGTGTCCTCTGCAGGACGGAGCCACTGACCTAGCACCTACTCAAAGCCAGTGAAAGGAATAAGGCTGGGCCTCTGAGCCCTTCCAGTAACTCACCAATGGGCTCCCCCAGGACAATGAGATCAGAAAAGCCTAGCAGGGACTGAGACACAAACGGCGGGTGCTGCACGGTCCTGGGCATGGAACTGCTCTGGGTGCTCGCTACACTCACTGCCACCTCCCCGGCCCGGACCACCTCCGCTGGCCGCCCCCACTCCGGCCCGGGGCCCCTGCGCTCCTGGCCTTGGCACCACGTGTCTGTCCCTTCTGGCCAAGACGCTCTCTGCCGAGCAGCGGCCCCAGCTTCCGGAGCCCGGGGAAGAGCTGTCGGGTGTGGGGGAGTCGGCGCCCCCCGCCCGGCCCTTCCCTGCCTCTGCAGGTGGCCGGGAGCCGGGAAGCGCTGCCGAGCAGGGAGGCGAGATGCAGGCGGCTTAGGGGGCGACCCCAGCGTGAGGGCCGCGGAGAGAGGCCACTTGGCCGGCGAGAGCGCTGGGTAAGGCCAGGTTCGGCCTGAGCTTCCTCCCGCCCGGGGGGCGCTAGTCCCACAGCAGGGGGCGCTGGGCTGGCGGGGCGCGGGCAGGGGGCAGGAGGCGCTGCAGGGCGCGGGCTAGCGGAGCGCAGGCAGGGGGCAGGAGGCGCTGCATGGGGCTCGGGGGCTGGCGGGGCGCAGGATGGGGGCTCGGGGCTGGCGGGCGCGGGCAGGGGGCGCTGGGCTAGCGGAGCGCAGGCGGGGGGCAGGAGGCGCTGCACGGGGCTCGGGGCGCAGGAGGCGCTGCAGGGCGCGGGCAGGGGGCGCTGGGCTAGCGGAGCGCAGGCAGGGGGCAGGAGGCGCTGCATGGGG